AAGACGTTGGTAAATCACCCTCTAGATCCAATTCTATTTTTGAATATATGTACATGAGCGGTATCTATAGCTACATTTCGACATTTATGGTTCCCTCTCTTTTTATCAACCTTACTAGCGCCATACTAATATATTTACCTAGTTAAAAATATACGATACGGTTGCCCGAATAATTATATATATATATATATAGGGGGGGGGGGGGGGGCATAATGTCTAAAACTCATAAACTGAAAAGGAGGATTTCCATCTATTTTTTTTTTAATGTTTTTTGGCATTTACTTTGTGAAAAACTGTTGAATCTTAATTTTCAGTAACTTGCTATGCTGTTTGTGAAAGTTAACAAACGGTGCAACTCTTTTAATACTTGACAGTAGCTTAATGTGGTTAACTGCATTTTGTCAGTTAAAGGGTGAGAAAGTGTTACTTCTAGCATCACTGAGCGAAGCAAATGGCAGTACACCATAATTTTAATGGAATCAGAACACTTACACAATGGTTAAGAAAGGTAAAGATATCTCTAAGGAGAGAAGTGCGTGGGCTTTCACCCATCGAAGGAGCGCCAGACACTCCAAAGTCAGCGAGCGATAACATGCGTCTGACATCTTTGTTCCATACCCTCAAAATGTTGTTCCTGAAAAGCATCAATAATCAACTCCCATAGCCTTTGAAGAAATAGTTTAAGAAACTACGAAAAAAAGTGATGCACTTATCATCAGTATGGCAAAAAAGGTAACACAATTTCATAGCAAAAAAATTGACTAGAAAGAATATCTAGTGGGCTGCCAATTCAAGTTGAAAATTTAGATTTTCATTGCAGTCAAAAGGGAAAGAGATGTGTCTCACGAGAACTGCTTGTGGTCCAAGCAGTCATATTCTAGTGAGAACGCAGAAGTACCTCATCTCAGTATACAAGGTGGGCAGACTTCATATTCTCTCAAAATTACAGTAGACCTAAATCAAAGTATGAGTTGGGATATATATGATTACTGTCTAATACAACTCCAATTCAACCTTTTCTTTCACCTATACGTATCGAAAAAGCTGTAAAATTATGCGCTAATGAGGTGATCACCTCATATAAGTAATATAAAATATTGCAAAACAGCCGAGTACTGCAAACTTACCTATATAAACATTTTAAACACAAATAATAACAAACAAACTCGGCAGACAAATTTGAACAATCAAATATAGTTGAGAGTTGACTATCATACAGACTAACAGGGACTAAAGAAGATTTAAGTTTGATCAAGCAAGTATAATTGACTGATACACAAACTAGCAATAACTAAAGCCTCAATTAGATAAGACCAAATAAACAATAACGACGGCATTCAGGAAAAGTATGGAATCGAACTCACAACCGGGTACTGACCTGCACTCCAAATATTCTTGTAGTCCACCTTTGCGCTTCAACACTTCCTTGAACTTGATTTTTTCAAGGGGACCAGCTGCACGAGCTTTTAGTCCTGCCGCTACAGCTGCTACTTTTCCATTTTCAGCATCCAAAGCAGTAGGTGATGAATTGAGTTTCTCTCTTGTTCTATCCACATTCTGGTTGCTTACGAAAAATTCTTGGCCTTGCATCAGAACTTCCCAATCAACATCACCCTCATAAGCCATGTCCCCGTGCCTGTGCTTTTTGGCATTACGTGCAGCTCGCTGGCCAACTGTAAGACTATTTTCTTTACTTTCAGGACCAGCTATAGATCCTATTTCTTCTGCACAGCTTCCATTAGCCTCTTCATCCTCAGAAGGATTGTAGTTTTTTGGGCATTGACCTTCAGGGAATACACGTTCCGATTCACTAACAACTTTTACTGGTGAGCTACACTCGCATACCCTGTCATCTGCCTCTTGTGAAGAACATGGTGGTGCAGGATCTCCGGATGGATGTTCCTTCTGCAACCTAGGAAATGCAGATAGTGATGAATGGAGCTGAACTTGGCTGCAACTTTTTGAATCCAAGGCAGTATCGAGCCCGCTATCTATTTTCACGTCAGCACTATTTTTTGCTATGCCTTCGCACAAGGATGTTGACACCACCGAATCCTTTGCTTCCACATAATTGAGTACCTCATTGTTTATGTCGATGATATCATTAGTCGGACTTGGTTCATCCCCAATGGCTTCAGAGTTAATTTTACCATCTTCTACTCCTACTTCTCTAGATAAATCACCTAAGTCCTCGTTGGATCTCCATATGTGATTCATATCTGGTATACCAGAAGAAAGCCCTTGGTCTGAGTCAGTTGGATTCCCCACGGTCCGATTTCCGCCTTCTGGTAAACTATCATCAACACTCCGACAATTCGAGGTTGACTTTATGGAATCCTGCCCAGCAGGAACTACAACCCTATTGTCATCAGTCACAAGTAATTTCTTGACCAGTTTTGAAGCGGGCGGAGATTTCCCATCAGGACCCTCGGAGTCAGCACCTGAATTCTGCTTTGGCCCATCATCGGACACTTGAGTTCCCTTTCCCTGCTTCAATCTCGAAGAACCATGAGATTTCCAAATCATCCCTGACTGCACCTTCTGATAAAAGGCAGACAAGGAATCCTCAAAAGCTTCACCCTCAGACTCTGCATTACCTTCTTTTTTATGCTGCAGTTCATTATTTCCAGATCTACTGCAATCGACAGAGTTCCCAATCATCTTTATATCTATATCGACCCTGGATCTCTTATTTTTCATTTTACCCTTCGCTTTTAAACCCTCCATGACTGTTGATTTCCCAGATGATCCACCTACAGAAATTAAATTTGGATCTAACTCCTGATCCTTCACAGACTCGTTGTGAGATGGCTCCTTTATACTTGTGCTCGATTCTTTCGCAGCCTCTATTGCAGATCCACCATCCTTTTTTGGACCCCTCAATTTCTTCCTAAAAATTGCCAATGTGTCATCCATCCCACCTAATTCTTCATCCTCAGACCCTTTAACCTTGTTTCCGCCACGATCCGCAACCAACTTACTTTTCTTGGAATTTCTTTTGCTTTTCATCTTTAAAAGTGTCCCAATAAGCTCGTCGTCATCTGAATCAACAGCTATTTCCACAGGTTTAGACTTTCTTTTCAAACCCATTTTCTTCTTCTCCTCATCCATCACCTGAACCCTAGGGTTTCAACTTCCAATCCTCCTCCACATCAAACACTAACCCTAACCTCTCCAATTGAATCTCACACCCACCGAGCCAATTGACTGCCCCTGTATAAAGAAGAAGTAAATACTCAAACCATCATTTAATTTATCAGAAAAAAGAAGAAACCAAACATTCTCAATTCATCTAACATATCAACATTAAACCATCTCCATTCAATTGAATCTACACACCAATGGCGGGTTTCGACTTAACCCCTAATTCCCCCATTAATTTTTCCAAAAAAAAATATTAAAATTTCCATGCATTCAAAATCAAAATCAACCACGTCAATGGCCGAAGTTAACAATGCTAAATTCAATTTCTCTTTCCTTATTCCCGACACCAAACATTAATTAAGTAATAAAAACTCATAAAAAACACGAATTGAACAAAAGCAACTCTAGGGTTCGTCAAAAAAAAATCAGGGGCAAAACGAAAAGGGGGAGGAGGTGTTTGCTTGGGGATCAAACCTGAGTCTCTTGGAATTCCGCGAGTATGAGAGAGTGACCGGAGCCGCCGTCTGCCACCGCAACCGTTGATAAAACCGAGAGAAGGGCGCCGCACCTCGTCCTTTATACACACACTGCAAAACTCTTACGTGTAGTGAAACAGATGCAGACAGATAGCAATAAAAATAAAAATAAAATAACAGTGAGGTATTGTTGTTTTATAGCGGCAAAAACATTGCAATGAATTCTGCTTTTTTTGCTAAAAAAGCAGGGCGCAATCAATCCATGCTGATTTATTCAACTTCATTACAAGTGTTTGGAGATGAGATTCCTCTGATTACAGATAATAGGGTAATAATGAGAAATTTATTGAAATATGCCTTGAATTTGTTTTTGGGGATTGTTGGAGGGTGATTTGATTTGGGGGTGAATTTTAATTTTTTTATTTTTTTAATCAGATTACTTACTCCGTGCCTCTTTTGACTTGTAATTGTTTGTTTTTTTGGTTAGTATTTAAATTGCTTCAAGTAAATAGTATTTCTTTTTTAAGGAAATAAATAAGTTTATTATAATAAATAAATAAATAATATTGTGTTGGATAAATTTCAATTTCCGAACTTTTCCTATTTTATTGGATTGGAATTATAATTATATATTAAACAAATTGGACTTTTCTGATCCGATTTAATTTCCAAAATTAATTACGAAAAATTTCATTTTTTCCAAAAAATACACTTGTAAATAATATATATTATATAATATTTATTTTAAGTTTTTTTTTTTTTTATTAAACAGGAATTCGATTTAAGTTTTGTTGTTTAGGATATTAACATATTGAATTGTTGTTAGGAGTTTTTATTGGATATTATGATGTGGTTTCTTTTTATTGGAGTGAATTTTTAAATTCCGAAAATTTTGGAATTGGAATTAGAATTGATTTTGTACTTCCGAAAATTTTTAGACTTTTTTCGCAAAAAAATAATTTCGATCCGATCCATTCGACTTTCACCCCTACCTTTACCCAAAGGAGTGTAAATGGTTCGAACCAATTCATGAAAATCGGTGAATCAAACTCGACAAAAGCTCGAATTCAACGAACTCAATTCGGGCTTAAGAAAAAAAAATATAATATATCCACCAAATTATTTCATGTACCCTTCTACAAAAGAAATGTAATGTAGTTTCTAATTTAAATTAGAGTGACAAAATCAACCACATATTGTTCATTTGTTTCTTATCTTTGAACAGTGCATAATCAATATTATCACCATGCATTATTTTTTATTTATTTTTTGAAAATATATTAAGTGTATATTTTATTAATAAAAATATTAAAAAATCTTACCTAACCCTTTACATTCCTAATTATAGTATATCATGAATTTTGATTCAAACGTGTTATTTCTTTGGATTATGCTTTTATTTTATTGTCAAAAAAACTGCTTAAATATAATTAATACGGTCTAAATAATTATTTAATTTAATACTAAAACAACTATTTCTCTGTATGGACATTCGAGATTGGTGTATTGGATCTTGGCCCAAATTTTGTTTGAACTCGGCCCGTAGAGAATGGACCGTTTTCTTTTTGGACTTGGATGGACGTTATATAGTTATATGTAATAGTGTGAAAATTAAAGTTTAAAACTACGCTATTGATATGCCAATTGGGTCAACCCAATAGGCCTACAATGTCTTTATCTACTTGGTCAATAGCCCAATATTGAACATTATTACTGTCGAGGCCCAATTATCTTAAAATAAAGTTTTGGCCCTGCAGTCTCAATTAATTGAACTTCAGCCCAATCAATGATGTATAAATAAAAGTTTAAACTCATTTCTTAAGGTACGTCATATTACATGAGGAATACTATAACATGTATTATCTGGACCATTCTACTATTCGTACGTCTGACTTGAGCGTCGGAGGGGTTTCCCCCGGATCGACCCCGGCTTAGTCCACGTGTTCTATGATCGCAGATATCTCTGGACCATCTAGCTCGTGAGCCAGTGATTCAATTGATCTCCTAGCTCATCCTACCTCAATTACTTAAGGTGATTTAATACTAGCATCAACATTTTGGCACCGTCTGTGGGAAGGCAGACAAGATCCCGTAGCGCGCAGGATGGCCTTGAGACATCTGCTCAGGGGGGTCGTGGCACTGCTAACAACCTCCCACCTCGTGGAGGCTCTGGCTTGCCATTTTTCCTCTTTCTCGTGCTCGGGATCCACCACGAGACCCTCCCCGTGATGTCCTACTAGATCCTCAACATGATCCACTTCTTATCGCTCCTTGAAAGGTTCAGATAACCGATGAGGACCTTCAGCGTATGATCGCGGAAGCTTCAACTCGTGCCACTGAAGCAGTGGCACCATACATCATCGCAACGGTAGCCAACGCTCCTCCTCCCGAGGCCCCACTAGGTCCTCAACATGAACCACTTCTCCTTGCTCCTCTAACGGTTCAGATAACCAAATAGAACCTTTAGTTTATAATCGCGGAAGCTTCAACTCGGACTGCCACAGAAGCAGTGACACAATACATCGTCACAGCAGGAGCCAACGCTCCTCCTGCAGCGCCACCCGTGGCACAACCACCGCTATAAAGTAACGACCACCAAAAAAGTGTGTCGTGAGCATCCACTTCGGATCATAGGTCTCGAATGCAACAACCCACTCATCGTCGAGAAACGCGAACTGCGCAACATCGCCCACGTTCACCTCCAAGAGGCAAACGACTCTCCGTTACGAGCTCCTCCTTCCAACGATGCCAACGACATTTGGTGTATTTCAAGACCATAGCAGGGTTCGTGATCGTGCGCCTCAACTCGAGATATGCCTATTGAGCCAACCCAATACGCCTACGCTGTCTTTACCTACTGGGCCACGAGCCCAATATTGAACACTACTACTACTGAGGCCCAATCACCTTCAAATAAGGTTTTGGTCGGACAGTCTCAACTAATTGAACTTCAGCCCCATTAACAATGTATAAATAAATGTTTGAACTTATTCCTTAAGGTACGTCCTATTATATGAGCAATACTACAACATGTATTCTCTGGATCATTTCTACTATCCGCACGTCTAACTTGAGCGTCGAAGGGGTTTCCACCGGATTAACCCCCAGCTTAGTTCACGTGTTCTATGATCGCATGTATCTCAGGACCATCTATCTCGTGAGCCAGTGATTCACTTTGCTATAGCAGCTCATCCTATTTCAATTACTTAAGGTGATCTAATACTAGCATCATCAACTATATATTTTTTTTCAATATTTTACACGATTTTATTACTTAATGAGTTAATGTTTGCTCATTGAGATAAAGTTTATTGATTTTGTTGGTTACTGTTGAGTGTATACATTATACTCGATAAGCTTACTTTTACGAGGTTTTATGTTAGAATTATCGTGTATATGTACTCTGATTGATGGATGTTTTATAAGTGAAAACGAGATTTTGAGGTCTATGCGGGCAAAATGAATGAAAAAAGATAAGGAAATTCGAAGAGAAGAGAAATAAAAAGTTTTCTTCACAAAACTTGGATTGTGGTTCGAGAAGAGACAAAAGGCTGCACCTCTGTCCATGCAGTACTGCGGTCCGAGAATGAATGCAAATTGCAAGACCGCATTTCGAGGATCGTCGTATTTTAAAGAAAATGATATTTCATATATACACGAATTAGGTTCTTACCGTGCCAAGTTTTGGCACATACTTGAGCAATTCTACACACAACACAGAACATGAAATCTTGCACGAACAAATGCAGAGACGTGAAGACATTATTCCATCTTCTATTTTTATTTGAGCTACACTTAATTAGAATTTTGCCAATTTACTCTTACAAAGGAGCTGAATCAACTGATTTCAGTCAATAGTTTTATTTTCCTTTTTTTCGATACGGTTGAGTCGATTGTTTAAATTAATGGAGTCAACTGATTAATAATCGCGTCAACTTATCTTAAACCAATTGGCTGATTTAAAATAATTTTATCAATTGACTTACAATTGAATTTCAATTAGTTGGCTCAAGCCTCAAATGAGTAAGAAAATTTATTTAGGGAATTTTCTCACATTTCCAATACTTTAAACTGAGTATTTTGATGTGGGACTCGGTGGGAGACATATTATAGGCTGAAATATATTTATTTAATTTTAACCCATACGAAATCCCTAAATTCCAAATTCCAACCCAATCCCACCCAAATTCAGTTATTGCGGTCCGTCAGGGCTGAAGAAGAAAGGAAAAGAAGAGCGTTGCGAAGTGAATTGAGTGAATTGAGTAAATTTCATTTTATCAAACACCTTACTGATATTTGTATAGTAAATTGAGTAATTCATAATTGATCGACGGGTGATGAATTTTGTATTTGGGATACTGTGACCAACCATTGTGCGGACAAGGTCGTGGATCGTTCTATTTTTTTTTTTTTGTTTTCTCGATGTCTGTTTTATTGGTCCAATTTCGTTTTTGGTTATTGACTTTGTTATTTCAAAATCGCAGGATTTGCTGTGCAACTTATGATTACGAAGGATGCAGTTTGGTACTTCTTGGAAAAAGGGTATGTTTGCTTTTTTTTTTTTTTTTTTTTAATTGATATTGGAGAACATGTGTTGGGATAATTTATATTGGAGAATGTGTTTGTTAGGAGGAAGAGGTATTTCAAGATATTGAGAATATATATTGCTAAGTTGATTGCTGATATATGTTCAGGTGTTTGCTCCTGAACTGATTTTGGTTGGCATATTATGATTTCAATGTAACTGGAACGGATGACGAACTCCGAACTATTATTAGGATGGTTTTCTGAGATAGACGGAATTAGCCATCAATTTCAATCGGAACAAATCTTTCAGTTTTGCTATTTTCAAAACTTACCTAGCTGGATATGAGAGAGCTCATTTGGCCAGTTTTTTTTCTTTTCAAGTTGCCATATCGACTACTGCTTATGGTGTGGTTCTTGCGTCACTTATGTGTTTCTTGCCTAGAGTTAGGTTTGGGTAGTAGCATGGTATTAAAAAGGGGATATTGCCTACTCACTTGGTCATATATAGATACCTATAAAGGGTGTAATATATATATTTCTAGATGTGCTTATTTCACAAACTCGTGAATTTTGGAGTAATTAAATTAGATTGTATGGTATATTTCCATTATGTGATATGCAGAGGCAGATGGATGTAGCCTTACCCTTTGCTAGGGAGAAGATTATATTGGCACAAACTCATCACTCGTGGGTCGGAATGAAAAGTATTTATGATTTTATGTAAGCATCAATAGTATGGTGTGTCTTTTAGGTTCTCTTAGAACATATGTGTCTGTAAAAGATGGAATTAAGCATGTTGAGCTGCATTCCAAAAGGATACGGAGATTTCTTGAACGTACAATGTCATCTGATCCCACATTATTCAACATAAATTAACTATATTGGAATCTGTCGGGGACAATATATTGGGGAAACTAGATTGTTATGGGTTTAAGATGTACAGTAGATTCGGTAATTCATAATTGATTGGCGGGTGATGAATTTTGTATTTGGGATACTGCGACCGACCGATGTGAGGATAAGGTCGTGGATCATGCTATTTCAGATTCATGGTTGTTTTATTGATGTACGTTTTTTTTTTTTTTTTTTTCTTTTTTGACTTTGTTTATTCAAAATCGCAGGATTTGTTGTACAACGTATAGGATTATTAAGGATGCAGCTGGTATTTCTTGGAAAAAAAGGGTATGCTTGCCTTTTTTTTTATTTTTTTTATTATGTTCTTGGAGAACATGTGTTGGGAAATATATATTGGAGAATGTTTGTAGTTGGAGGAGAGGTATTGCAGAGTGTGATTAATTTTTGGTTTTATTTTGAGAGAAAATGTTGAGAAGGAATAGGTGGTGGGAATTTAATAGGAAAGCAGAACTTATTTGTTGATATATGTTCAAGTGTTTGCTCTTGAAATGATTTTGGCTGGCATTATGACATCAATGTAACTGAATTGATGACAAACTCTGAACTATTATTATGATGATTTTATGACGGAACGAGCCATCAATTTCGATTGGAACACATCTTTTAGTTTTGTTATTTGCAAAACTTACTTGACCTCTTATTGCGTTGCTTATTATTTTTCTTCTGAATACTCTTTACCGGAGTCCAGAAAATTTTCACCATTCTGCAACTTCTAAAGGTATCACTTTTGTTTTATAATTTGTGCAGCCATGTAAGGATCAGCACTTTCTCAGTGGGATATGAGAGAGCTCATTTGCCCAGGTTTTTTCCCCCTCTTTTCGAATTGCATGCTGATTACTACTTATGGTGTGGTTCTTGCTTCACTTGAGTGTTTCTTGTATAGAAGATGTATATTTGATATAACCACACACGCCCGTAGGTATGTTCATGTGGTTAGTATCATGGTATTAAAAATGGGTATTTATCCACCATTAGCAAACTTGTAGGTTCCTCATACTGCCTATCTACATGGTCATAAATAGATACACAGAAATGGTGTACTAGGGGTGGTAAACGAGCTGAGCCGGTTCATGAACTCGACGAGTTCGCTCGACAAAAGCTCGAACTCGAGCTCGGGTTTTTCGAGCTCGAGCTCGAGCCCAATTATAGTTTTTCGATAGCTCGCGCGAGCTTCTTATTTATTTTTTTATATATTATACAATAAAATTATTATTGTTAATTTTATTATTATTATTATTACTAATACTATTACTATTATTATTATTATTATTATTATTATTTAAAGCTCGAGTCGATCTCACTGAAGCTCATGCGAGCTTGAGCTCGAGCCAAAAAAATTCAACTCGCCGAGTTCGGGCTCGAGTACAAATAGTCGAGCTCGAGCTCGAGCCTGCCAAAATAGGTGAGCTCGGCTCGTTCACACCCCTATGGTGTACTATATATTTCTAGATGTGCTTACATTTCACGAATTCGTGAATATTGGAGTAAGCAAATTAGATTGTATGGTTATTATGTGATATACAAAGGGCAGATGGATGTAGCCTTGCCCTTTGCTAGGGAGTCAGAATGAAAAGTATTTATGTACGCGTCAATAATGTGGTGTGTCTTTGAGGTTTTTCTACAACATATATGTTTGTAGAAGATGGAATTAAGCATGTTGAGCTGCATTCCCAAAGGATACAAAAGATTTCTTGAACTTATTAATGTCATCTGATGTCACATTATTCAGCGTAAAATAACTGTATTTTCTAAAACCCAAAATTGTTTTGGAAGTAAACTGATGTTCTATACTCGATCCTAATGGAAAATTTGTTATTTTACTACCTCTATACTAAAGACCAAAGGCACTATTGTTGTTGTACTTAAGCTCTCATGATCTAATTGTGAAAGTCTACTTGGGATTCTTGAATCCTCGATGACAAATTCTTGATTTATTTTCGAACAGAAATAGTGCAAGAGCATATAGCAATCCCAAGAATTATAAACGAAGGGGGATCGATGCAATTCACACATTACTATATACTAATAGAGTTGTGCAGAAGTTATGGAGATGTGAAAAGGCTGGGAACTCACAGAATAATTTGAAGTCCTGTCGAGCGGCACCTGCATACAAATAGAGCTGCGCAAAAGTTGTAGAGAAGTGAAAAGGCTGAGAACTCACATAAGACTTTGAAGTACTGTTGATGGGCTAATCAGCTTCTCTCTAATTGACCAGTTCCTCTGTTCACGGTAATTACTCATCTTAAACTGCATTTGCCTGAAAGTGAAAAAAAAAAACATTTTTTTGTTAGTGCTCTTTTGAGATATACTAAGAACTCGAGAGTGTATCCAAATGTAAATGTAGGTGCAAACCTGAATTATGAAGTTGCCTCTGAATAGATCTCAAACATGTAGCCAACAAAAGGAGCGCCACCTCCTTTCCGAGCCTAACTACTTAGATTTAGACCACCAGAACATATAGATCGAAAAACCATAACTGAAACCACCAATACCAATAAAACAAATCACCGACCCTTGAAAAATAGATCACCGCAAAACCCTTCTCCTCCACTTTTCGTATCCATATATCTTTTGTGCAAGTTGCTATAAGTGAATAAATAACAGATCTAGAATATTTATAACGCGGCATTCTAGGAAAGGGAAAAAAGAATTGGCGTTTCGGCGTTTCCGTCAATGATCTGTACATCGGCAAAGCAATTGAAAAGATATACCCTTAATTAGCAAATATAGAGGATTTCATCACTCATTCTAAACCACCTCAAGAAAAAATAATAATTAGATCTTGTCTGTTTTTCATACCTTGACCTTAATTGGACTTGGATTTCCATCGTAGATCTTGTTTTTGCTCCATTCCGATGCGAGGTTTTCACAGATCTGGCTGTAGATCTTAGAATTTATTCGGCATCGATAAAAGAATATGAAATGGAGATGAAAAAAATCATGATGGTGGTGGTCATTTATTAATAGGAAATGATGGTGGTGGATTACCGTGGGAGCAATGCTGCCATTATATCGAACGGCCATGGTGGTATTTGGTGGTAGGGAGTGAGTGCGTTTGGTGGTGTGGATGAGGTCGAATGAATGATATTACGTCAAAAGCATTCCTTTTTGTTCTCATCCGAGGCCTTTACCATTAATTCACGGAAGGGCCTTTTGGTAAGCAATCGGAAAGAAATTTTGAATTCCGGTAATTTGTCATTATTGCGGATAATTCAAAATGCAGGTAGCGGTCCGATATGCAATGAAGGTAAATTTTCTTAATTAGATTTTTTTCTTTAGGTGTCATAAATGAGATGTATAACAATACGAGAAAAAAGAACGTCAATGCCTGATAAAAATAGTTATGAGAATACGAAGGACAACCTTGATGTGCATATTTTCATTGTTTAACATGAAAATTCAAATCTCCTACTGAATTTTTCTGTGCACATATGTGCAAACTACACTATAAGTGTTGTATACGACTTTTGAGTGGGGTGATTGGTGCAATATATAAGTATATATTGGAAAGAGCACAAATTGTCATATTTAGTTGAAAGATCTTGATTAGAAGAAAAAAAAACCCGGGTAATTATGTAAAACTACATAGGTAAATAAAAGTCTAGATATTCAATGGCACTTGAGGAATGTAGTATTAAGCTGCTTGTTGGAGAAGTATAACATTGTATGAACTTATTGTACTGGTTTATAATGTCAGCCGATTTGAGATTCGAGTTAGAGTTCTTAATTTAAAAGTTAAGTTAACCTCAAGGATTTGATTTCATAAGACACCTCTTTTTAAAATTAAAATAAAATCCTTACAACTTCTTCAAACTCTCGTTAATAGGCGATGCCTCAGCAAAAATCAGACTAACTGAATTCTTGAAAAGATACAAGGATTCTGAGGACAAGAAAATAAGCGAAATTGACTATGGGTTGAGGAAGTTAAACGAGAGCTCTGTACACACGTGAATATGTGTGTGTGTGTATACACTCACATAGCACGTTTCTTTCTTCCTCAAACCAAAGTCAAATTTTTTTGCTCTTTCTCCATTTGGTTTCGGTGCCATGAGTAGGTCCTGATATTCGAAATGTCCTTAGGATTTTAATTCATGATTTGAATTCATAGGTCCTTATTTATGGTACCATTCGTTTAATTTGATGTTGGATTCTATTCGTCTTAATTGGAGAATATATATGTATACTTATTGCGATGTTGAATTACTGATCGATATTTGTATGTTGTGTGGTGATGAAAAGGATGAATGGGCCTATCTGTTTTATAACTAAGGATGATTAATCTGCTGGTAGTGTTTCATGTTATACTTGTTTTCTTCACTACGTATATAAATTTCGCAACCTTTTTATATGCAACAGGCTGAGGTTTGGAATGTCTTTACAGCTGAAAAACTCGAGTTGCTTTCCAAATTACACCATCAAGGTTGGAGGTACATTTTGATTTATTTAAATTTTAAACTTTCTGATAGGGGTCAGAAAGAAAAATATCGAAAAAACCGAACCAAAACCTGAATAACTGTGCCATTGGTCGTTCCAAATTACGAACCGAACTAAGTGCTAAAAAGGGACTCAATCAGGATTATAAAGTTTGGCCAGAAAGGTTAAACCCATTTTTTAACCATATCTTAAGTGCGACTTTTTCTCGTATATTTGGTAGTAAAAGTTTAGAGAAAATGTGGATGAGGATGAGACTATTAATCGTAAATTCAACCGAAATCAAACATTACTAAAAGGTGAAATCCATATGAATCGAACCGATATACAACCACTAGTTTTGGTTTTTCGGTTTTCTATAAACCAAAACAACTCGTTTATGTTACGGTTTTCGCATAAAACTGAGACGAATAATACGTGTTCATCCTTACTTTCTGAAGCAGTTAGATGCTTTGACTGCAAACAATGTGGTTGACCTTTCCTATTGTAGATTATTAATACGCCCCTCTCCCTTTTTTTTTTTCATTTGCAGACACTCCAAGTTACATCGTTTTCCCGATGTCACTTCTGCAAAATTGACACAGGTGCAAAACAACTGTTCGAGTTTGATCGTGACATTTATTGTGGAGGTATATGTGTGGTGAAAAATCATTTCAATTTACTAATACTAGTAGAATGTATATAGACAGCCGCCACCCAAAATAATCTTATACAAAACGTCGAGTCTACGTTTTGGACAAATTAGGCACTTATGATTAAGATTATTAACTAACTCCTACCAGGACCCCAGTTTTTACTGGGATGCTTTTGGTTTTTAAATGTTTTTATTTATATTTATTTATGTATATATATATATATATATATATATATATATATATATATATATATATATATATATATATATATATATTAATTTTTGGTGCAATATATTCCACAATCTGGATAGTGTACATAAGTCATAAAAGGAACCAAAATAGATTGCCCTATTTTCATGTCACAGCTGATTCTTGCCTTCTTTCTTTTTGTTTCTTGCGAGTTTGTCATTGGTCAGAAGAACCCAATTAAATATAAATATATATAATTAACCAGCCAGGCTTTTTTTTTTCTTTTTTTTTTGTCTCTCTTTTTTTTTTTTTTTTTTTTAGAATGGGAACATAGGAATGTTTGGCTCAGAAGCTAAACCCTCTATTTTTCTTCTTGGACAATCAATTGGACCACTGGGTTTGGGATTTTGTGTTGTCTTTATTGCAAACATGGCATATATCTCGAGCTGGCAAAAAGAAAATCCATAATTCAAATTTCAATGTATTCCAAACTCTTAATATAAACAACAGTATCACATTCATCGGGCCACTTAGGTAATTGGTTTAATCAGCTGACACACAAATTCAATTTAAATTATAGATACCAGGGTAATGTTATGGATTATGTAGCACGAAAACTTCAATTTCTCAAAGTATTCATGTTTCGGACACGTTTCGTGTTCAACACTCGAGGACACTTTATGGACTGTTTTGTAATTTTTGAAAAGTTGGAAACATGATTGAATAACAAAATTTTAAATATTTTTGTTGTTGACTTAATTATTTACATGATTTAATGATCAATTGCAAATTGATATTTGATAATAATATTTATTTTTGAATATATCTGTATGAAAATATATAAAAAGAATTTATATATAATGAAAAAATTATATATGTTTGTATAACATATTTATAAATATATTCTTATACCTTTAATATTTCCACGTTTCTCTCAAGTTCTGCTGCCCGTTTTTTTGTTTCCCGCATCTCTGTTTCATTTTTTTTGTTTTATTAATGAATATTAAAATCTCTAATGTCACGACATTGAACTATTTCAATTTACGTCCTGCCAAATATATATAAATGAAACATCGAGCAAAATAAAAAAACAAGATATTTCTAGATTGAATTGGCTAGTAATGAAGTCGAGTTTGAACGGATTTTAGGTTAATTGGATACAGATCGAGCCGAAATGGGAGCTTATTTCTTAACAATGAATTAAAATATCGAATTGAATTGAGTGTAGTTGTTTGATTACATAAACATATTGTCAACACGAATATGTGATACGAGATGTGTCTTATGCATAATGTATATGATATATGCCTATATTAGTAATTGAAAACTATTTTTTTTTTTTCTAATAAAATAAATAAATATTTCTATAAAAAAAATTACATGGTACGAAAATCAATGATTGACATTGGTCTGAGTCTGAGTCTGAGAATCTCAATTCTTGCTGGAACCACCAATCTGCACGTGACCTCATCTTTTTTCTTCAGTCACAAGATTCAACTTTCATCTTTCAGCGCGTGAACACCACTTTTCAGCTATAGCCCGATAATTCAAAACTTTCGGTTTTTCTGATTTAATTTCTGGACAATATTTTTATTCTGGATTTCGTATATTTCAATTTTCCGGTTCATTGAATTGAGATATATTTAATTTAATTATATGAAGCAAATAAAAAAATTTTACCGAAATAATGTTGATATTATTTATTCGAAACATCGAATCAGTAACAAAATTTATGGGGTCAAAGTTTAAAATCTGCAACAAGTTAAAGATCAGTCGATCTTCACCTTAGCCTATATACATAGAATTTGGAATTCTTGATACTATTAATAATGAGTTTATTATTGACGTAATCGATTTATCGATGATATTATTATTATTTATTTATTTATTTGTCAAATAATAGTTATTTCTTATGATTAAATTGCACTATAAAAACTCAATTGTTTCTTCCATGTTCTCACTTCACGTGACCTCTGTAGATGAATAATATCCAATAACAAATAACATATCCAAAAATAGCCAAAATTCAAAAAACAATTATTTTGTACATATTCTTAAAAAACTTAATTCCCACGTACGCGTTTAGCTTGCGTGTGGAGTTTTCTCATTTCATCTTAATTCCCCCACTATTTAAACCCCCACCGCCGCTGTACCACCGCCCACCGCCGCTTTCTAACATGTCTCCAACTCCGATTCTTTCCTTCCTCTTTCAACTACTACTACTACTACTACTTGTTCTCCTCCCTGGACGGAATATATTCACACGCGCCGCGGATGGCAAGTGGGACACGCTCCTGTCGAACATCGGGATTTCAGCCATGCACATGCAGCTCCTCCACACCGACCACGTCATCATGTTCGACCGTACCGATTTCGGGCTTTCCAACATCTCCCTTCCCAACGGCAACTGCATCAAAAACCCTAGAAGCAAGATCCTGCCGGTCGACTGCACCGCCCACTCCGTCGACTACGACGTCGTTTCCAACTCCATCCGCCCCCTCACCGTCCTCACCGACGTCTGGTGCTCCTCCGGCGCCGTCACCCCCGACGGAACCCTAGTCCAAACCGGCGGTTTCGACTCCGGCGACCGCGTCGTCAGACTCTACAAACCCTGCCGGAGCAGCAGCAACACCACCACCGCCTGCGACTGGCAGGAAGTCGGCCGCGGCCTCACGGTGAGGCGATGGTACGCGACCAACCACATCCTGCCAGATGGCAGGCAGATAGTCGTCGGCGGGCGGCGCCAGTACAACTACGAGTTCTACCCGAAAACCTTCCGCCGCCGACACGGTGAACAACCTGCCGTTCCTCGTCCAGACTAACGATGCTAAGATCGAGAACAATCTGTACCCGTTCGTCTTCCTCAACGGCGACGGAAACCTCTTCATCTTCGCCAACAACCGAGCAATACTCTTCAACTACTTCACCGGGTCGGTTATCCGAACCTACCCGACGATCCCCGGCGGCGACCCGAGAAGCTACCCGAGCACCGGCTCCGCCGTATTGCTCCCGTTAAAACCCAACGCCGCCGGAGCAGAAGTCCTCCTCTGCGGCGGCGCCCCGAAAGGAGCCTTCATTCGAGCCAACAACCACGACTTCGTACCCGCCCTCGACACGTGCGGCAGGATCCGAATAGACGACCCGAATCCACAATGGGTCATGGAGACAATGCCCGCGGGTCGGGTCATGGGCGACATGGTCCTTTTACCGAACGGAGACGTATTGATCGTAAACGGGGCCGGGTCAGGCACCGCCGGGTGGGAATTCGGCGCCGACCCGGCCCTTTCGCCCGTAATCTACCGACCCGATAACCCAATCGGGTCGAGATTCGCGACCCAGAACCCGAGCTCCACGCCCCGTATGTACCACTCGACCGCGATACTTCTCCGCGACGGGCGGGTACTAGTCGGAGGGAGCAATCCGCATAAGTTCTACAATTTTACGGGAGTTTTGTACCCGACCGATTTAACACTCGAGTCGTTTTCGCCTTCCTATTTGGATCCGAAATTCGGGTACCTAAAACCGCGGGTCGTTTCGCCCGGCCCGCAAACTAAAATTGGGTACGGGCAGAAGCTTCCGATCCGGTTCACGATTCCTCCGGGTAGGTTAAATAGTACTTCGGTTATGGTGACAATGGTGGCTCCGTCTTTTACGACTCACTCGTTTTCGATGAACCAAAGGCTATTGGTTCTTACACGCGCGGATTTGAAACCCGTCGGAAAATCAACTTACCAAATACGGGTCGATACGCCCGGTTCGGGTAATCTTGCGCCACCCGGGTACTATATGCTCTTTGTGGTACATCAAGATATTCCTAGCGAGGGTGTTTGGATCCAAATCGGGTGATGATTAATTTGCACCAAGGTGTTTTGTAGATATATATATACATATATACAATACATTAATTTTATTTTATATATAATACGATCGATACATACATATATATATTTTGTTTTTATTACAATGTTACACAATTGTTGTAGATGCATAGAATAAAGGGTTTGTCTTCATTAATGTAAAGGAGCATTCTTGCAATAATATATAATAAAAATTTTTTTTTTTCGTTGAAGGAATGAAAAATTACAATATAGTTTTCAATTTTGATGAACTTAAATAAAGATCAAGAACCGTGTACGCCTAATTAAATTGTTTATAGTGCATTGTGCATGACTCGTGAACAAACACTTAATTGAACAACACAAATATAATCAATTTATATTTAGGCAATTTCTTTTACGGGAATGAATAATGATCATCGCGTTCGCGTCTGTTTTAGTCATGTTTTAGTCAGTGACGAAACCAAGATTTTCTATTCATAAAAACGAAACATAAGCTAAACGTTATTTATGGGTGAGAATATTAAACTAGTGGAAAAAAAATAACAAATTTCTATATAAATTAACTACAAAGTATTTTATAAGTTCGTCGCATGTCGATTTTAGTCACGCTCCAACGACATTTTTTTTACTTTATAAAATGGGAAAAATACAGTTTTCATCCCTCAAGTTTGTACTGATTTCAAATTTGGTCCTCAATGTTCATAAAAAACACATTTGGTCCCTCATATTTCAAATATTCTACATTTTTAGTCATTTCCGTCATTTTTTCGTTAGTACAAACAGAATCAAGCTTGTGCTCATCACTGCAGCATTAACTGATGAATTAACGGTAAATTAACGAAAATGAGCAAAAGTGTTAAATTATTGTAACACGAAAGGACCAAATGTGTTTTTTTTAACATGGGGACCAAATGTGAAATCGGTGCAAACTTGAGGGATGTAAACCGTAATTTTCGCGTCATAAAATCGTGAGAGATCATGTTTGAACTCATATTTTTTTTTTTTGGAAAAAAATAAAATCATATAATCGATTTATTAATATTTAATATTGGGGTCCATTTGATATACACCCCTCATATGGAAAATATATAGGGATAGGTCCACCCCTAAAAATCTTCCTTTGAGATACACCCCTGGAGAGGTAAAAGTACCATTGTGCCCTTTTTTGCAATTTTCGCCCAACTGCACTCAGCATTTTCACCAACTGCATTTATCATTTTGAACCTGCATTTAATATTTTTGTACTGCATATATCATAATTTTTAATTTAATATTTTTTTATTCCTGTACATATATTGTACCTTTTTTTATTAGTAGTATATTTTTTTATAAAATATTTTTTTTAATATTTCGATTTTTTTAATATTCCGATTTTTTTAATATTTCGATTTTTTTAATATTCCGATTTTTTTAATATTTCGATTTTTTTAATGTTCCGATTTTTTCAATATTTCGATTTTTTTAATTTTTTTAATTTTTTAATTTTTTTTTAACTTTTTTTAATATTTTTAATTTTTTTTATTAATTCAAATTTTAGTAAAATTCCTGAACTGAAAGTATACTACACATGACTAGAGTCCAATAGTCAGGTATAGTTATATATAGTCATGTATTGTCTTTTTACCCCAAAATTCATCTACACTAATAAATAAAATTCACAATTTAGATCTTGATATTATAATTCAACTAACAAACAAAAAATAAAAAAATACAATCACATGCATATATTCTTCAAACATGAACACATTAAAAAACCTATAGCATACATATAACTATATGTTACTACAGGTGACTATAGTTATCTACAATTATCTATATTAATATATAGTGACATAAAGTCTAGACTACTGTAGCATGAATCCAACTTCATTAGGCACTTCATCGCATCTTATTCCTTGCATGTCATAAAAGCACAATAAAAGCAAAACCTGCGACAAAAAAATACGAGTTAAAGAGCAAAATAGAACATGCGAGTTAGATTACATGAAAAATACAAAAAAAACATAATTTTTTTTGTTGATAAATTTACTTAACTGAAATCGAATACAAATGACTATAGTATACTACAAATTCTATAGTCATGTATAGTAATATGAAGCCATGACTATATATGACTACATATATGACTACATGTGACTGTAATATATGACTATATATGACTGTAATATATGACTATATATGACTACATATGACTGTAATATATGACTATATATGACTGTAATATATGACTATATATGACTACATATGACTGTAATATATGACTACATATGACTGTATATGACTAAATATAATTGTCTATTCACCTGACTCAAATCACCCGTTTAAGTAACCACTACTAATTAAATTTCTACTACAGACAAACAAAGTTCTCACACTTTAGGCATTTCGAATCATTTTCAAATAAATACAAAAAACAAATTACATATAATTTATAATAAAAAAATTCAAATTAATCCAAAGAAAAAGATTTTAATATTAATTGTTCACAGATCTTAAAAAAATAGTAGATTTGGTTTTTTTTTTATGAATGCAGTAAACTTAGTGCACATATGTTTTTAAAACACCAAGATCTGTGATAAAAAAATAAATTTCAATCTAAACATTTACATTATAAATCAACTCATAACCAACCAAACACACAAGCATATGCATATGTTACTACATATTACTATATATTGTTACAAATTTGAAATTTGTTGTCATAAAATGGAACATGATTTGTGAGCCAGCAGAACACCAAAGACTAAAGCTGCTGATACCAAAGACTAAAGTTGCATAGTCAACAATACCGTATTTGTGACTACTTCGGCAACAATAACAGCCAAGTCCCACTTCTACCTCAATTTGAATCATTGAAGAAATCTGAAAATTTTGTACAACATAGTTATGCATTATTCATGACCTATAGTCCAAAAATAAATTCATAGTTTTCAATCAGTTCAATGCATTCGTGAGGAAATTCTTCAAATCATTCGTGGACCATTTTGACTCTATTTTTTTCTAGAACTAAATCAAAGTAAAAGCCATTTATATTCATAAAAAGGGGAGGAAATATGACATAGGAGAGAAAATAGCTAAAACCTGCAACTGGATGGCTTCAGATCTTGGCGGCGGCGGCGGACTCGACAATGGCTCCGAATCCATGTACACCCTTAATCGTCTCTTAGTATCGCTTCATAGGCCCTAGCCACGGAGATGGAAGATAGATCGGACAGATCTGGCGAGAGAGTTAGAGAGAGGGAGTGAGGGGCGGGAGAGATGTACAGGTTGTGGATCGAGCACCGCCGTGTACGCCGCGAAAGAGAAATGGTGGAGCCTGGAGGGTGAGGTTTTTGATCTCCTCGATGAATTCATTCACGTCGTTACAGAAGAGAGATGGGAGAAAATAGCAGATGAAGGGAAGACGGCGTGAGCGGCGCTTTGAGGGAGATGGGAAGAAGTTAGGGTTTCGGTGGAGAGAAGTTAGGGTCTGTGGCCTTATTTCATAACAACGGCCCATTAGGGGTACAACAGTCACATCACTATGTCTAGGGGGTCTACCTAATTAAGATCAAAATTTGGGTTTTTTGCTAGAACAGAAAAAAACATTGGACCTCCTCATATATATTTTCAAAAGTAGGGGGTTATCACTCATTTACCCTTAATATTGTCAGTCACTAAAGTGACATAAGTTTATGTTAGTAAGGTCATTATCCTTAGCCAGTTGTTAATTACAAGGCAGATTAATTATCATTAAGTTTATCAATCACATTAATTAACTCTCCATTTCTGGCTGCTGATTATATGAAATATCAATTCTCCTGGACCAATCGCCAGCTTGTATAATTATTGATATTTTTTCTGCAAGTTTTACCTATTATTAGAAATTAATTTATTCCAAATTTCATGCTATAAACTTTTTCGTAAATTATATACAAATACTCACTTCTTCATTATATTGAATTTAATTTTACATTAGACCAACACATAATCACTCTAACTCAATTAAATTTATGACATCACAATTAATTAGGACTGTTCTTTCATAGTCATCTTACTTCTTACGTACTCTAATTTATCTGAAAAATAATAATAATTCAACTTTATTAATTTGTAGAAAAAAATTAATTACATGAATATGAAAAATCAATCTAGCTAATTTGTTTGGGGCGTGCTAAATCCCACACTAAAATTTACTAAATCCCACATATAAATTAAAAAAAAAAAATCCCTCTTTACTCATACTATCTCTAACTTCTCTCTAAGATGATTTTATCCAAGTCACTCAAAATTCATTATTTTTTCATGGGAATAATCATAAAAAAGAGTCCAATTTTAATTAATATTTATTCGATTTCATTAAGCTTATTTAAAATTCAAATTCATATCAATTCGATTTTTTTCCTCAAATTCCAACTTTATTTTAATTTGAACATGTGAAGATTTTTGTCAAATTCGAACTTTGAATGCTAGGGGACGTTTTTAGTGTGTGATGTTTTTGTGAAAAAAGTTAGGGAAAAGAAGAAGGGTAGGGAAGGAGAAGAGAAGATTTTAGAGAGAGAAATAATTTTAGTTATGTGCTTGATTTAGTAAAATTAGTACGGGATTTAGCATTTCAGAATTTGTTTATACCTATCAACTAAGTTATTACAAAACCTTTTTTTTAGCATGTTTCAAAATCAAATTAGTATTTTTAAATTTTTTTTTATAATTATTCTCAACTATTCCTAATTGCATGCATGTAAAATGTAGAAAAATCTACTTAGAACCATAAAAATATTACCGTTGACTATAAATATATAACGACTTTGTATAAAATGATGCGTGTGCAATACATACGTTTTTTTGTCGAATTTAGTTTCGATATAGTGATAACGTCGACGCATTTTGGATGGTTGATATGGTACAACTTAATTTAATTAGTGTCACATGCATGAATGAGAGAAATGAGTTATGAGACAATGCATTAATGTTGTTAGGTGCCCTTAATTAATATTATTGAATTTCGTTAATTTGAAAGTAACACATGCTAATTAAGTTGTCTACATTTCGTTTATCTTTGAGTACACGTTTTCTAATAAAAGATTCATTTCATCAATTGAGAAAAATAATTGGTATTGCTAAATATGTATGTAACGAGTCTAATTATAATTAATAATCAATCAAGATAATGTAACATGCCTATTTATAAGAAATTAAATTGGACACGTTTCTACCCTCATCAAACTTTAATTTGAGTACAAACAAGGTTTTTTTTTTTCTTTTTTTTCTTTTTTCACGAGGTTGCTCTTCTGTCACACATCGAATATGCTACCAATTGTATTTGATTCTTTGCAAGAATTAACTTCAAGTTTAATTATATGATAAATTTAAGAAAAAAAAAATGCATTATTTAATTCATTATTGTGTTAATTACGAACATAGAAGTGATCAAGAATGAAATAAATAGATGAAGGTTCAATGAAAATTTTCTTCGAACGAGTGAGGATTACTCTGCATTGTTTACCAAAGTTTCAATTATTAGCGGAGTCAGGATTTTAAGTCCGGAGGGTCGAATAATGCATTAAAAAAAAACCTAGATGAAACGACTCCTTTAGCTGCAGCAAGAGGCAAATGTTTTACGATGCAAGAATGACGATTTGAATTCGTTCCTAATATTCCGAAATCGTTATAAGAGTTGGTACTGAGCCTTGACTACTATGGTCAAAGTCTAGAGTTCGAATCTTGCTCCTCGTCTACTTCTATATATTTTATTTTTTCATAATTATTTGAATTTGTATATAAAAAAATTAAAAATCACGAGACCTTTAGTCCATTAAAAAAAAATATAGTTCAAAATAAAAAAACAAAAAAAATGAAGGAGGTGAAAAGCACGCGATGTTTGAGGAGAGTGAAGTGGGAGGTTGAGGTGTGACAAATCACGGGTCAAAAAATAACATAAAAACGCTAGCTAAGTTTTAACAACTTCACGGGTCTGCTTTTCTTTAGATAAAGATCCATCACATTATATTATACCCAATTAATTACCGGTTTATTTGTTATTCATCTTAAATCCTTATCAATATCAACACTATTAATTATATTTCATTTACTTTTTTCCCAGTTTAAAGTCAATATTATATTAATTGTTCCCAGCTTCCACAACCACAATAAACTTTAATTCAGACCATTATGCCATCACATAGAATATACAGATCAAGAAGAAAAAAAACTATCAAGTGTCGGTTTACTAAATTGATAATAATCATGTGTTTTTTTTAATTTATTTATCAAAGAGTAAATAAAACAACTTTACTACTCAAATTGCAATTGTTAAAGCTCAGTGTATTTCACACTTTTTGTGTAATTTATTTATTTATTGATGTGG